GCCTTTCTTTTCAAACACAATCTGAACACACATGTTTTTTATGTGAGTCTCATTTACTTCAGCTTTACTGTCTTGAATACAGATTTAAATTGGGGGGAGTGAAGGAAAGTAAAAAAAAGCAGACCTTGATACCAAGCAGTTATCCATAGAGAAGGAAGGTGGCAGCTGGTTAAATGAAACTGAATGCATCATCACGTGGATGTGATTTTCTGTTTCTAAAGAATTACGAGGTCTTTGTCCCTTTGAACCAGGCTCATTTTGGATTTAGGTGAAATCCTTTCAGGTTTTTGACTCAGAACCCATCATTTTGGTGCAAAGAAATCCATCGTGCGTATTAAGGGGTTGGTCCAAAGTACAGTGCTGCTACTTCATATCACATTGGGTGGCACTCATTTTATGTCCCTAATTCCCCCTCCCTCCCTTCCTTCCTCCTTGGAAAGATAAACACGTGAACAACAATGAGGTATCCAACTATTAGCAATATAGTTCTGCACAGATCAGCTCCATGATGGAATAAAGAAGTCAGCATGGATCTAAGCACCTTCTCTTCATATCATAGCCGTCATGTTGTTTTCAGGAGCATTTTTGTCAGGCAGTGATGAAAGGCTGAGAACAAAGTGAGCAAAATTTCCTGTTACTGCTTAAAAATTCTCAGCTGTTTTGCTATATCAAAACGCTGTCTCTTTAAACAAATCACATGGTTAAAAATGCCAAGTTATAATTCAGCAACTAACTCTGAAAATGACAATTTAATCAATCAGAACCAACCCTCCTGAAAAAGAGGGGTGGAAAAAAAAAGAAAAAAATCTTAAAGCTTTCATGCAATGCGAGTGGTTGAAACTATAAAAATGTTCAATCACTGTAGAACAAGCCTGCAGCATCAATGTTTATTAAAGTCAGGGGAGCCATTTATTGACCTGGGAAACAGCAAAGCACCAGCAGCACTGCTGGATTGCATTTTTATAGTTAACAAGCGGAGGGTGATATTTTCCTTTTCTCTTTTAATTGTGTTTCCATCAAATCCAGAAAGTTAAAAGCCTCCTGATTTTTAAAGGAAAGCAAAGATGCTCCACGCCATTCTGCAGTCATTCTCTTTGCTCTGACTACTAACATGGGGATTTATCAAATAATTTCAAATATTTAGGCTTCTCCACATGCCAGCAGAATGACAGACCAGCATGTGTTCTCTCCACCACTTCAGCTGACAGCAGAATATAGGGAGCTACCATTATGAGGCTGGTTCTTTCTGTAATCAAAAAGGAATTACTTTATTTATTCATACAAAGGTCACCCTGCCACTGGACCAGCCAAAAGCACTCAGAACGAGCTGTCCTCTCCCAAACCGACACCAGGCATTTTATCCAAAGACACATCTTAGTTGCTCTGGAGATTTTGTAACTCTGTTTTGAAACAAGAACATTTTTAAACCACACCTTTCCATGCTGCATAAATTGTGAACTGCTGAAGGAAAGAGTCAGCAACATTAACTGTACTTACAGCATAGTTATATATATATATAAAATATATATATATATATATATGATATATATTTGTTACCCAAATTTCAGGAGTCTGGCTCCTGCTGCATTCTTTCCATATCATCCCCATCCACAGGAAAATCAGCTGAGGAACAGGGGGGCAGAGATTTAGAACATCCTCTGTGTGTCAGCTGCCACCTAAACCGGTGTCAATGCCAGAAAAGCGGACTTCAAAAGCGAGGAGGGTGATTCAGTGCAGTGTGAAGGAGAGCTGGAGCTCCCCGTATCCTCGGTGGATGAGGTACAAAGCGGGATGAGCAGCGAGGGTTGTACATGAGCGCACCAAAGGTGATGAATATTGTAACAAATCCCCCGGCAGGCAGCACCTCAGCGGCTGTCAATACACCGCATGAATTAGCGGCTCCGAGCGGGGTGGGAGCAGGAGAGATGAAGAACGAATCCTCCCCGTGAAAACGGCGCCTCTGCCACGTGGAGGATTTCACGCTCTCTCCGTGGGGAGCACAGGGGACAAAACTGCTCTCCTGATCACACCCAGCCGCACGCAGCACTTCACACCTTCCTCTCAGGTTTGCAAACAGACCTCCGGCAGCTCCGCTTCTCATCTGCTTCTCCTCATTCACAGAGAAAAACACATAATGTCCTTACTTAAAACACACTGGAGGAGTTTGACACAAATTAATGATTCGCCTGTCATACTCTAAGAATTTTGATATTTGCAAGGGTGGGGAAAAGGCTTCAGGTATTCTGAGAGCTGTAAAAAGCTGCTTTGGAATTCAAAGACAGCTCATAGGAAAACAAATCAACTGCTAGGTTGCTGTAAGGTTTGAGATACCCATTTTGCACTAAAGTCACACTACTACGAGAATATGAATAAATAAAAGGTTATGAAAAAGCCACGAGTTCCCTCAAATTAGATCCCATTGGCGTGAAATTACTTCACAGCTGCCACATGTGTTGCTCCAAGAGAGACTACTCTTTAAATAATGTTAATGACAACTTTGATTTGGCTTTTGTAATTACTAGAGAGAGAAGGGACCACATTTCCTAGGAAGAAAAATCTTTTATCTGCTTGTTTAATGTACGATCACTGATGAGATGGAACTCCTTTCCCCCGAGTTATTTCCTTGTGTATTTTTGTTTTGAAAAATAAATTGATTTCCAGGTTGAAAATGGAGCTGCTGTGCAGCACTTGCAGGTGTGGAAGTGGTGTCTAATTGTCATTTACAATGACCCTCGATTCCTCTCTAAATAAAGAGAGATTCTTTTTCTCTCCTAACTCTCCTCACCCTCACTTCAGAAGCAGGCATATTTACAGGGCTGAGGTGCCTCCACCACCACCAGTAAATCATAAAAATTTCTCCTGCAATCAATGGAGTGTCTTCGCATTTACCAGACAGTATAATCTGGTCCACAAGGCAGCTGATTGTTATCTATAACCTCCCCATCCAATTCAAGTGATGGGAGATACAACCCAAAAATTTCCTTTGGACTTTTTTACTGCCAAAATAGATCACGTTCTTTGGCAGCCTTTTTACAATCTCCACTTTTCTAAATAAACATCACAGAACCTATACTGCTTTTACTGCAAAATGCTTCTCCTTGCCTGTATTGAGGCGGGTTTTTAGCTGACAACAGACAGCGGCAGCAACTCCGTGCAAGCCTGGGGTGCAGCACCAAGACATGGGGTGCACTGGGGACCAGGGAGCACCAGGAATAATCTTCATGGTTAGATAAGGTGAAAACCCCTTGCACTCTCCCCATCCCAGTTATACACTCCGCAGTGATGTAAATTATTAGAATGCAGTCCCCAAAGAACTGGGGGCAGGATGCTCCTTCTCAACCAAGGTAGAGAGAAGCTGTTGTGTGCAGTGTCCAAACCCCAAACAGGCTGTGAGCAGAGTCTGCTGAGGAATTGTTGAGCTGGGATGTTCTGCAGGATGGAGGGACAGAAACAGCTCTTGCAAAGGCCACCAAGCAAAGCCAGGCATTAGCACAGCTCAGTGGCTGCAAAGCGCTGAGGAGAGCACAGTGTTTAGAAGAAATCATTCAAAGTACATTTCTGGACTGTAAATGAACTGAAACTGTTCAGAAAAGCCCTGACATTGAAGGCCATGCAATTAAACACAGGGCTCTGATTTGCAATGATCAACAAAAAGCAAATGCATTATTAAAATGTATGGCAAGTAGAACATAACACCAAAAATGGACAGATTCTGGCTGTACTGTGTCATTACATTAATTAACAGCTTTCCCCTGTTGGTTTTCTCACTAAGATTCAAACATATTCATTCTTTGACGAATATTTGTATTCAGAAAATGGCAAATTTCTTCCCAGCCTTCTTTTGTTGGGAAGGGATGATAGCTGTTAATGAGAAAGGGAACAGAGAAGGAGCTAAACAGCATAGCTCCCACAATAACAATGTGACTTTCTCACTGGGGCCTTGAACTTCAGAACAGCTTCAACTCATTTACAGAGCCTGGGAATGAAGGTGCCTTCCCTACACGAAAATTAAATATTTTCATGCAGTGTTACGACTTTGCCTTGAAGCATTTGTGGCTCCATGTTTCATTGGCATTTGTGGTCATTTTAGTCCACTGAGCTTAAATGTGCAATAAGGATGCCTGGATATGGATAATTCTCACTCCTTTCCCACTGCAATCAGGTTTTGTCCTTCATTATACCTTTCTGTGGAGTCTATTAGAGCATAAATCTTTACAGAGTTCTTCAAGCTTTACGCATATACAGGAACTTTTCTCCCTAAATTGTCTTTTGGAGCGCACCAGTTTATTAAAGTTTTGAACACTGAACCCTCACTCTCATTGCTTTATCACCCAGTTTATGTGCCAAATGTCAAAGCAGGCATCAGAAATCTGATTTATGAGGATATTTAGAGAAATTGTGGTACATGCTTCTGACTAGGAGTCAGCTGGCAATTCCCTATTAGGATTTCCTCCTCAGCTCCCAGTGCCCAGCGTGGCAGTGCAACAACAACGCTGCCAACGTTGAATTCACAAATCACAATTCAGGACTAACAAAGCTTTCAGGCTATTTGTAATATCTTTGAATTTGTGTACTTTCCAGATTTAATGACATTTGACCCTTTTGTGATTTTATTTATAAATAAAAGTCATTGCAGACAGTAAAAAATTAAAAGCTTATGAAGTCAAGCAGTCTCCAAATGCCAGTGTGAGATCTATTTTATACTCTTTTTGAAATATCATCAAATTATGGATGAAGCTGTAAGCCGGCAGTACTACACAACACACAAGCATGGGTAAGGCATGTAGGTTCCCCTACTGATTTACCATTTCATACCAAAGCGGATTTATGTCCTGCTCACACCCCCGACCTCCCTCACCCCGCACAGCCGTAAAGTTTATTTCTATAGCCGGTTTTGCATCACTAGCGCTGCCCCGGCGGCTCCCGGGGCGTGGGCAGGGTGCAGTGCCCGCGGCCGCCCCCGGCCGGAGGGTGGAGCCGCGCCGCCGCCTCGGCCCGCTCCTCCCGCGGCGTGCGCGGCTTCAGCGCTACGCGAGCGCGGGGATCCGCCGCGGCCTGCGGGCCGCCATGGCCGGGGAGGTGAAAACCAAGCTGTCCAAGAACCTGCTGCGCATGAAGGTGAGGGGGAAGGAGGGGAGGGCGTGCCTGAGGCCTGCGGGGGGCTGGAAGCGGCGGCCCCGGGGCGGCAGGACCGGGCCGTGCCGGTACCCATGGTTGGGGTGGGTGGCCCCGGCCACACGCGGCCGTCCCGGAGCGTTCGTGTGGGGCATTCCCGTGCCCATCCCCGGCCCCGCGCTGTGGGTACAGATGTGTTTAACCACGGTCCGCACCCCGGCCCTCCCGGGCTTGCTGGGCTGCTCCCCCGGCAGGACATCGCTGCTGCCGGCACCGAGCTGATGAACGCGGCGAGCGCGCTCGGGGTTACAGACTGCGGGGTTCGGTGCACAACGACCCTTCGGAGCTTCGGAGAGCAACTTCATGATTCCAGCAGAAGTCTGGCCTCAAGAGGCAGCTCCAGCGCACCTTTTGGGAGGGCTTTCGTTCCGCCTCGCTCCTCTGCAGCTGGGTTGCTTATTGTGAATTTAAATCTATTAAATTAAAGATTTCAACAGCACATCGAAATGCAAATATCAGTGCTGCTTGCTTTACTTGGGGGTGGGGCTTTTAGTACTGAGGAAAAAAAGTTTAGGTTTGTGACCATTTTTACTCCTGTTTACCTTGCTGGCTAAGAAAATCCCAACCCTGAATGGGGATAATATCCAGAATTTACCATTTTTCCCAACTCATAAATGCCAGGGATCTTAGAAACATCCCGATGTGCTTGTTACCCTTGGAATTGTGAATTTCATGTCACCAGTGTGAAATTAGTCTCTAGTCAGTGGCTAATGGATTCTGCTTCACACCATGTACTACAACTCCTAATTCAGTAGAGCACATCCTCCTCTGATTGATGGTTCTTTATTGCTGGAAAACAAGCAGGAAATATTGAGTTGTTTTTTTTTTTTTTAATGTAAGTATTCAATTTTTCTAACTGAATATGATGGGGTCTTTGTGGCCCTTCTTGTTTGTGATGTTTTATTCAGCCATTTTTTCCCGCCCCACATATTTATGTGGGCCTATATTTCACATTCTGACTGAAAAGAGTTAGCTGACTTAAGTTCAATTTTTCATGTAAAGTGCACTCTGCTACAGTTGGATGATGGACTATTTACCCTAATTAACAGATGCTGCTAAATCTAAAACTTGTACACAGAAGGGACAAAATACATCTTGCCTCACTTTCAAAAGGGAGTAGGTGTTGAACTGAGTCAGCCACCAATGTGTGACACAGTCAGACTCCCATAACCTTGATGGCAGCATCATTATTTTTCCCTTATTTTTATATAATACACTTTTTAAATGAAAATTTTCTTTCTGTTGTTTGCCAGTTCACTAAGCCCCTGGAGATTTCAAAAGCAGGTTTTTAGATTGTTTTTCTGTGGAAGGCCGTGCAGAACCAGCCACATGAATGTGCTGCCATGACATTTGCAGGTTCACAGTCTGAGCAGTACTAACCAGCTTTGAAGAGATCAGTAGGTTTTGAAAAGGTCACACGCAGATATTGTATTTAGCACTTTGTTTCTGCAGATCTTCCTGTTTACAAATGTTTTAATTAAGCCTTTAGCAGCTGCCTCTGCAGGTAGTGATCCAATGGATTACCAGAATTCAGCAGATGGATGAAGTGGCGCCCAGAGGTGACGTGTGGTTGGTGGTGTTGGAAGGACCATTTGCAGTAAATCCTGGGCCACATGGAGACAAACTTTAAGATCTTGCAGCATTTGGTCTGGGTCTCACCCAAACAACTCCTCAGTTACTGACTTACATATTCTGTGCCTACCACAATGGGTATATTTTTAATTTATCAGTGTGTGTTTACATTCGAGAGAAACCTGATCACATAATTTTTATCTAGGTTTTTCCTGTAGTAATCTTTAGGAACATAATCTTTAAAATGGAGTGTGAAATGATTATTTAATTGGGTTCTTGTAGAAGAATTTCTTATGTTGAGATTTCTGACTGGCTAACCAATTTCCTTGAGCAATATGTTTTTCCACATGATCGATTCACTTATTTTCCTCAAGAAGATACTGTAATTTTAATTGGAAAGCTTTGACATATTCTGAATCGACTCAGAAAATGGAAGTCAATTTTTTCTTTCATTAAAGATCTTGTACAGTGGATGCAAATAGAAATGGAAAATGAGACACTAGCTCTGTTGGCTTCTACTTCTGAGTTTGGTTTGGATGGGCATTTTGTAAAGACTGAAAAAAAATGTGTGGGTTGTTTATAGTACATTTATTGCACACCTATATCACCTGTATATTTTTACAGGACTGTTAGCCTTGCCTCTGTCTGGCAGTTAGATTGGTATAAATGTTGACCTCTGACAGGTTATTCAAACACTTCCTGTTGATCCTCAGGGAAGTCCCAACTTTTGCAGGAGGTGGGAGTATGTGGATTATCACCATAAAATTTTGAAGAGTTCTGTTTTTTCCCAGCATGTTTCGTTGACATTGTTTAGACTTAATTGTCACTCAGTTCAGGCACCTGACTTAAGACAAATGGAAATTAAAATGCTGTTTCACAGGCCTCAGGTCTGTAGTTCTGTGCTCTCAGCAGTTTTTTATAGGCTGTGACAGATGTCTTTTTCTACTCCCAGCTGTTGAGAGGTTACTGTTCCTACCTGCCTGTTCCCATCATCTGACAGAGGTTATCACTGAGGAAGCAAGTGACAGGAATGTCCTTGTATTAGGAAAAAATAACAGTCTTGCCCTGAACTTCGTTATTGGTCTCAGCTATTTTGGCAGACTGTTCCTGTGGTGAGTTAGCAGATGCTTAAATACAGTGCTGGACCAGTGGGTCAGTGAGAATTGAAGAGCTGGGAACATCTTCCTTTAGCACAGCTGGATACAGAGGACTTTTCTTCATAGTCTGGTTTCAAAGTCTTATATTTTTCCACTTCCAAAGGAAGATTTGTGCCTTCAGAGCTACAAACACAATCCAGTTCATTAAATCTGAGAAAAGAAGAAGATGGTTGAAAGTATAGATGTTTCAAAAAATGGCCAGCCTGGTATGACTTCTAGCTCTGAGCTCCAGTGTCTGTGGGTGGAGTTGGTTCCTGATGTACTGTTGAATAACTTCAACACCATTAGCTTCTTTCTGGCCTTTGCTGAAACATTAGAAAAACCTTAGTAAAATTAGGGAATTGTGACAACTCCAAGCCATCAAAACTAGCCAGGACAGGTCTGTTTCTTTATATGTCAATACAGGTGTGACTGACTGTTGACGTTCAGTAGACAGCTGTGATCAGCAGCTGTTTTAATTTTCCATTGTCTGTTTGCCCAAACTTTGACCAAACTCAGCGAAAAAAATCACAAAAAAAAATATTACTTTGTTATCAACTGCTAAACATTATGTAATGGATAATTGCCACCATGTAATTACTGCATGTTCAGAAGATACTCATGATGCAGAAAACTGAAGCTGTGTGTTTCTGTCTTTCTTTGTAGTTCATGCAAAGGGGTTTGGATTCACAAACTAAAAAACAACTAGAAGAAGAAGAGAAGAAGATAATTAGTGAAGAACACTGGTATCTTGATGTACCAGATCTAAAGGAAAAAGAGTAAGCTTGTAATCTTTTGTATTTCTGATCATCATTGTATTGTTTTGAAATGGAAATAGCATATTCATATTTTTTCCTGTAAGGTAAATGTTATAAGTAACCAGTTAACAGAAGCAAAAATAGTGACAGACTGACATTACAACTTTTTTTATTACTTATTTTTATGGCTGTTCTTGAGGTTGCCTAGTGTAGTTTGACCTACTTTCAATTCTTCTGTGTTTTGTTTTCTTTCACTCACATTCTTCTTAGATGCATGTAATTAGTTTCCTTCAGTCAGGATCCAATTCATTCATTGCTGCTTTTCCCCTTCTCTTGGAAAAAGAAGTTTGAAACCTTGTGTTAGTAGATTCAGCTCTAGTCACATGGTAAAGTCAGTTCAGAACAGTTCTGTCATCTTGTGTCCAGCTCACTTCAAATCCTAGTTCTGAAATAGGAGAGATAATGGCAAAAATAAAGGAAGGCTTAGCTAATAAGGAAAACTGTGTCCTGCTCTTTAGAAATGTGCTTTAAATAGCAGGAGGACTACTTTTGAAATTGCTTGGGTTTCATCCTTTCAAAACTGAAAAAAATTCCACTGAGGGAGAACATACATAATTTTGAAAAAGCTGGGACTCAAGGAATTAACTAGTTGAACAAGGCCATTGATAAACTCTTTTCCATTACTCTTGGTGGATATGACAAAAAGGTATTTGAGCTTCAGTTGCAGCAAGGCGTGTTGAAGCTGGACATTGGGAGAACTTTTGTAAGGATAAGGCTATTGAAGCTCTGGAGTAGATTGCCTGAGGGGACACTGGATTCTTCATCGTGGGAAGTCTTTTGAGGACAGGTTAGCTGGACCTCTGCTGTCCATGGCACACATGTAACTGATACTGCCTTGAGGCAGGACAATGAGCTCAATCTCCTCAGCCTAAGTTCTGTGATCATGACAGTTTGACTTACATGGGAGATGATGAGGGAGCTGGTACACACGTGTGAGGAAAAGGATGGAACAATCCATGGAAGTACTTTTATCTGACACGTGTATTATGAATGCCTCAGGGTCGTGTTTCTTTTCTCACTCCATGCTCATTAAAAGAGGAAAAAAAGGAGGGAGAAGGGGGAAATCTGTGTGCTGAACAGAGAGTGACACAGTGTTTTATACCCTGACAGACTCAACTAATGCCAGGTCTAACAGCACAATGAAAAATTAATTAGAAGCTTTTGCTGGTATAGTAGTGCCACCTGGGGAGTGATATTTATGTGGTATTTTTATTCTGGCAAAAGTATTAATGTAGGTGGAACCATACCAGCAAAGAGTGCTTTTTGTCAGGAGAGTTAATTTTGCTTGTGGAACTGGCACAGCTTTACTGGTAAAAAGGATTCCTTTGCACTCCAAGCTCCTTGTACTGAAAGATTTATCAGAGCAATTACGCAGAAAGTAGTTGATGGTTTAAAATACATTGTGGCTTTGTTTATTTGTGTGGGGGGAAGACAGCACATCCTTTTTGCATTTGTTTAATTTGATTATTTTAAAGTGCATGGTTTGACAAAGTGCTGGGTTTGGGGTTTCATGCAGGAGCTGTATAATAGAAGAGAGAAGCTTTCTGCGATGTGAGGATTTCGTTTATGGCCGAATGTCCTTCAAAGGATTCAATCCAGAAGTTGAGGTACCATATCAGTGTCCTGGTTTGGGGTTGTCTCACATTAGGATTGAAGCCCTTGGGGATGGGGATTTGAGTGTTTATACTGCAGCCTTATTGGCCTTTGCAGCACCTTCCATAAATCCTCCCATGTCCAGAAACCCCATCATTCAACCCTAAATGTTGATCAATGCCCCATCTGGTAAATAGAATCTTTTTACCTTCCTGTGTTGTTGGTCAGTAATTGCATGACTCCTGCAGATTTTCCCTCCCTGAAGTGAGGAGAAACCATCCCACATGCTGCTCACCAAAACAAAAGCTCACTTTTCCTCCTGATATAGAATGCAGAGTCCAATCTACAAACATTCAACCCTATTTATTCAGCACTTACTTGTATAAGTAATGGCTTAGAGTTCCAAAGTAAAAATGCTGGGCAGGAGAGTCTTTAATTTCTTTCTGTCATGATTCATGCTGATAGAAGTACACAGGGACAGTAATAAAAAGGTTACCACTGAACTGAAGCAGAGGATGAAGGTGTAAAGGCTAAGAGATTTGCAGAAGGCTGTGCAAGGTAATTTACTAGGGGATTCTTCTAGTTACTTTGAACTTGCTGCCCCTGTGACTCAGCATATGATTGCTTCATGGCTTTTACTGTAAATCCTTGAAGATACTCTTTCTTGTTAACAAAACCATCTCAAGGTCTGTGTGCTAACATCACGATGAAAAATTAATTATGATCTAACTCTCTGGTCTCCTGGAGATGTTTGTAGTGCCCTTTAGGATGTTTGAGTAGGACAATACACTGAAAACACTGTCTCTCTGTTGCCTTTTTTCCCAAAGGCAGACTCTAAGCTCAGCTTAGCAACAGACAGGCATGTTGCCTTTTCTTCATGAGTTCATAACAATAGCATAAGAAGGAACAGAAAATAATTATTAAATTGTATTCTTACCTTTTGTGCTCTTCTAGCAGTGAATTTCAGCACTGTTGCCATTGTGTCATGGTTACATGTTTAAGCTGTTTCTCACTTCATTTTCAGAAGTTAATGATCCAAATGAACTCTAAGTGCAAGGAAGAAGAAATTGAAGAGGATGATAAAATGGAGGCTGATGTGTCAGATGAAGAAATGGCCAGAAGGTAAGTTACATTTTATGACATAATCAGTACTATCTAGGAATATGATAGGTTACTGTATTATATGTGGGGAAATAAAACCCAAAAAGAAACAAACAAAATTTTAAAAGCCCACAATAAATATGGAACTGAACCAAATTGATTTTCCAGGAATGCTGGTGTATATTCACTTGAATCTCCATAACATTTTGGGGGTAAAATAACTTGTAGGGGTTTTCTGCCCTTTGATATCCAGGTATTCCCTGCTAATTCCCTCCTTGTTACCAGTTGCTAACAAATTGAAACTATCAGAGTGAATAATAATGTAATAAGTCATGTAGTACTTGTGCTTCTCCAAGCTTTTAATGACCAGGTTTTTTACACTACTTAAATTGTGGATTAGGTTTAGGATATGCTCCACAATTTTTCCTCTGATTTTAGTAAAAGGTGTAATTTTTTTTTATTCTCTCTACAGATATGAAACATTAGTGGGAACAATAGGGAAGAAATTTTTGAGAAAAAGGGACCAACGTGTACTCAAGAATGATGACGAAGATGAAGATGACGAAATTGAAGAGGGGAATAGTAACACAAGACCTAGTAAAAGAGCTAAGAAAATGTTCTTAAAACCTCAGGATTAATGTCAACTGCACAAGTGGAACTTGTTACCTAATGCCTACCAGAGTACCAAGAACTGGAGATTGTTTGGAGTTTTTGCTATTTAATGTAAAGGGTGGATTTCTAAATCTGTTCTGTTCTCATTGAAATTTCTACCATCCACAGGACACACTTTCCAAAGTGGGTGTTTATATAATGGATGTTGTACATCCTTTCCTCTCTCAGCAGCTTTTCATGAGTGGGGCACTCGTCCTGTCAGTCTCTAAATGTTTGCATAGTTAAATTAAGTGTTGCATGCAATCAAAAGCAACATTATTTACAATTTAGGATAACATCTGAAAGAAGTATTTGGAGTAAAGATGAGCTGTGTCCAATTCAGTAAGGCAGTTCAGCTTTCACTGCTTGCTTTATTGCAAAAATGAAACCTGCGCTCTCTTCAAATTGAAAAAAGCAGAAACATGCCTGGTTTTTGAGCTTCTTTACTGTGCTAAAAATAAGATGGTAAGAACAGAGATAAAATCCACTTTATTGAATTTTATTTTTTATAAAGTTTATTTTAAAATCGAGGATTTTGTAGTGAAACTTTTTTTTATTCAGCAAGCCAAATATTGGGCGACGTTTTCAGTTTGACATCTGAGCAGATTGAGTCTTAGTTTCTGCCTTCCAAAAGAAGTTTGCTAATTTTGCCTTTTTCAGCAAAAAAATCCAATCTTGTAATTATGTAAGTCTTGTCACAAAAGCATAATAACATTTTCAGAAACATACTTGAAAGCTGAATAAAAACTGTGGGGCTTTGTGTTAATGATTGTGGATTAGCTTATTTAATGTAAAAAAATTATGCTTAATATAGTCTGATACAAGGAGTGATCTTGTTTTGTGCTGGCCACAGATGTCCCCCAACATTAGCTGAGTGCACTGATTTATTTAGCATGTGATGAAACCATCTCAAGTTGTGTTAGGATAGAATCACCATTCTCTGGTCACCTGGTGCTCTGGACCTGTTGAAAAACATCAGTGTGATCTTGTCTAATATCAGAGCAATAATCTGTGTACGGCCTTTCAGCAAGAAATATTTCTATTGCTGCATTTCTTCAGGATGTCCAAGCTACTCATCCTTAATGCTGGCTCTCTGGAGAAAGAGAAATTTGTTAATTGAAGCAGGGAGTGGCCATTCTGCCATAGGCATGAGGCTTTTTTTGGTCTTTTTTTAACAGCTCAGTGAAGCAAGACGTGAAACTCAATTATTTAAAGAAGGGCACACTGTGTCTGCTGTATTTTGCATGTGATATATGAACTATGATCCATATATCAGGATCACCTAATTAGATATTCAAGATGGATCACACATGGAAAGAGAAATATACTTTTAACCTAGTAAGGGGACTTCCTGCAGGTGAAAAGGCTGTGATTCATGATCTGAGATAGCTTTTCAGAGCTAATTAAATGCTACTGGTTCAATTACTTAAAACCTGATCATATATTACTGCTAGCTGAAAAGGAGTTAATGATGGCAAGACATTTTTCTTCCCATGGAAGATGTGACCTGAGCTAAGAAATGATTTATTGTTGGTCATCACAAGAAAAACTTGGAATATATCCCATTATTCTTTCTTGCTTATTAGCAGGAAAATGATTCCTCTCTCTCTGAATGCATTTCTTGAATGGAGAGTGAATTTCTGCATAGCTGTGCTGAATAGTTGAGGGGTAAAGTGTGTTCTGGTGAACCACCAGGCACCAGGAGATGTCACTGCAATTGCATGTCCTGAGAGACCGTGGGTTGGGGAAGTTTCCAGCAGTGCCATGTAAAGAAGCTTTTGGGTTATTTTGATTTGGTTATTTTGATAACAGCAGTGGCTGAGATGAATTCTATGAGTAGTCTTCCTTTCTCAGGGTTCTACAGCAAATTTTCCTGCATTGCAGGGTTCTGTTCTGTCCAGGGTGGGTAATTCTCATCCAAGGGCATTCTGCCTCCTTAATTTCATGGCATTTCCTGAGGGATGGCTGGATACACAAGTCCACGGTACATGGATAAGCACATGGGAAGCTAAAGAGCTTCCTAGAAAATCCATGATTTTGAAATTTGGACAGAGGAAGGTTGGTTCTCTTTCCTAAACATGCCCAACACCAACTGTGAAGAGAAGGTTGATTTTAGCTTAATGTCTTTAAACCTGGGGGCTTTGCTGTTCGCATTCAGCTGGTGGCTCAGTGATACAGTAAAACCAGCTACTTATTTTTAGCACAATCTTTTATTCATAGGGCATTTGCAAAATGTGCTTTTTTAAAGCACAGTCCATAGTGTGTTACTGTGAGCAAGACAAAACCAAAACTCAGCCCTGTGTGACTTTTTAAATGTACTTTGCATCCAGAGTTACAAGCAGACATGGTGAGATCTGAAATACCTGTCTGCATTTCCAATTGTATAAATACATGTATGGGTGGATGGGTTTAAGTCTGACTCAAGCTTCCTACCTGAGGTAGAAAACATTCTGCTGTATAAAATCTGTGCTTGAACTACTCTTGACAGAGGTGTAAGCATAGCAGTGAAATATTCATAAAGCAAACCTGCATTGATTCAGGCTTTCTTGGCTCTGACAAAAGCTCCAGTACATTTTATGTGCAAGCTTCTAAGCTGTAGGACTTTCCCATGTGGTCATGTTTCTAAATGAAAAGTGTTTCTTCTTTGAAAACAGAAGCAAGTTGGGTAAGTAGTGTTTTTATTACAGAAAATGGCTGCCTGCAAAATGAAACTGGTGAAGTGTTACCAGGCACCAGCAGTGTTTGTGCCTGTGACCCTGAGGTGCCTGTGGTTGGAGGTGGTGCTCTCTGACAGCTCACATGTCTGTCCCTTGTCATGTGAAGTTTGGTCCCTCTCTTTGTCAGGGTGGTGGTGCTTATTTTGTAATAACTGCTGGGCTTGAAAATATGGAAGTATTGAACCTTCATCTTTCTTGCTGATGTTTCTCTTTTGCTTCTATTCTGCTTAGTATTGGATCTTAAAGAGCCCAGGACCAGAGTCCAACTGAAGTGAGCCATCCGGTGTGAATTTAGTAATGCTTGACCTGATTAAACTTTGGTTCCTGGGGAGGGGCAGGATGTTCAGTGGTGCTGTGGAGTTTGAACCGTGTTTCTTGTGCTCTGTGTCTCGTTCTCTAATGAGACACTCCATTATGCAATGCTACAACCGCGAGTGGCTGTCGTTGCTATTGGGCATTGCCTGTGTGTGTAATGGGCAGCTGGTCTGGGATTCTGGGACTTCATCCAGCATTCAGACTTTAAAAGAAATTGTCTTGTCTTTCTCTTGATTGGAATACCATACTTTTAAATTGTATTTGGAATTGGATGTGTCTGGGGGTGGAGTGGGGGGTGGTTTCTCAGCATTTGTTTTGCTTCATTTGAACAACAGTCCACAACTAAAACAGCAAAAACACTTAGGCTCTCATTAAACCTTTCTCTGAGAGTGCTAATAAAGCATCGTGGTAGGGAAGGATGGCAGACATCCCACAGTTCCCTACCGCATGTGAATTCAAGCTTCTGTGAGAGCTGATGCTTTAAGGACTTGGTGGTTTGTTTTCTTTTCAGGCTGGTAGAACATCATCTTCTACAATACTGCCTTGCTAATGGAACACCAGCATGAGGCCTCAGGGTCTGTTTGGTTTTGTTTGGTTTTACACCATTCTCTTCTCAAACCTCTCACGCATTTTGGACCTGGCATTCACACCTCAATAAACTGCTTTCATCAGCTTTTGGGGAGTTTTAGTTAAACTGTGAAACTGTTCCTTTGCTGTATGTGTTGACATTTCTTCCTGTGATTTTATGTTTCTCAGTGAGGACCTGCTTACAATTGTCACGTCAAGATGAAAAATCCCTCTTAGAGAGTGGTTATTAACAGATGGGAGTCAGGGGCATGGTTGGAGTGTCAGTCACCAGCAGCTCTGTAGATCTTTGGTAAGAACCAAACAGTAGAAAGGGTAGCTGGGTGAGTCCCATCACTGCAGGCCCAGTTAAATGCTGATAGAAGCCCATGACTGCCCAAGAAACCCTTGCATACCAAAATCCAAGCAATTATCTGGGAGTAACAGCAGGAAAACCTGTAGGGAAATTGGGAAGCAAAATAGCCACTCTGTTAATGGCTCTCCTCAAGACAAGAAAACGGCTGTGGTTGATGGCACAGATGGAGAAATGTGGTTTGGTGAGCTGGGTAAATGAGAATCCCATCAGATGGAGTGGAGGTGGTCAGTGTTTTGAAGCTTGTAATGTTCCATGAGGTCTTGGGGAGCACCTTATCATGATCAACTATTTAGAAAGGGGTTAAAAACCCTTAATGGGATATTAATATGAGGGAATAAGCTGAACACAAATTACTGAACAAATTCCATAATTCCATTAACAGAAAAGCTGTGTTCTGGCCTCAGTAAGATCTTTCAGTGTCCCCTGTCACCTCTTGCTTGGCTCTCAGTTCCTTATCCCTGTGTACCCAGGCCATGACTGCCACCACAGCCTGTCACACAAAGAGCTGGCACACACACCACAGCCAGTCCAGAGCTGCTGGCTGCCAAGCCCAGCAGAGATGACTCCTGGGCCTCCTCTTCAGGGATCATCTTCCTCAGCCATGACCTCTTCATCCAGGTACCTGTAGGAACTCACCATATCCAACGCCACTGCTGGTGCAATTATGTCAGGGAAGGTTTTGATTAGATACTATGAAAATTTTTTCACAGGGTTGGAAAGGACTGGAAGACTGTCAAGGGCAGTGGTAGGGTCACCATCCCTGAAAGTGGCACCTGAGAACAGAGTTTAATGGTGAACATGGTTGTGATGTTGGGTCGGTTGTTGAGTTCAATGATCTTAAGGACTTGTCTAACCTCAGTGATCCTGTGATCCTAAGAAGTCTGAGGTGGGAAGGGTTGGCCAGCAGATCAGCAGAATGAGTGAACAGCCCTCACCTGGCAGATGGTGTGTGCAGGAGTCAGTGCAGCCAGGGCCAGCTGTACCTAAAACAACTCGTAATGTCTTTATTTGCCTTTTATTTATTATCAGGTATACACTTACAGATTGTGAGATTAATGATCAAATTATTTTTTTTTTATGCTTTTAAGAATGTTTCCTCTTTCTTAGTGGTTTCCTTGGTTGGGCTTTTTGCAGAGAAGCATGGTAGGAGGAACAATATTTTCTGAAAAATGGGGAAACATGATTGTGAAAAAAGAAAAGGGTTCCTTTAGATTTGGCTGGCTCCTTGTTTTAGTTTTGTTTTTTTTCACTTTGATACAGATGAACAAACACTAATGGCATTAAAGTTTCTGTGCTGCGTGTCCATTCAGGAGAGCCATATGGACACTCATGTTTGCAGGACAAAATTAAGGGTATAGTGGGCTTAGCTTCATATACAAATATAATGCAGTCCTAAAAGTACAGAATTTCCACCCCTTTTGGGACAAAAGTAAATCTAAGCCAGCTGTGACATTTAAGTACCAGTCACAGTTTATAGGATGATTATATCTCAGAACAAAGCTTAGCAGTTATCTCCTTAGAGCCCATCAGCCACAAAACACTGCAATATATAGAATTTTCATCACCAGAAGAATAGCTACATACCAAAAATTACTTGGGGCAGTTTACTGCAGTAATGGCCAGAGGGATGCACATGATGATGATTTTCATTTTGTACTATGGTTTGTCTAAGGATGATGGTGAAAGAATTATGCCTCCTAATGCTCCTTTCCAAGATGACAATGTTTTACTCATATTAAGGGTAGAGGAATGAGATGGGCTGTGAGTGGTTGGATCTTGTGAAAAATGAAGTTTCAAATGTGTACTTCATTGTCTAAATGCTCACAGATTACTTGTCTCCCTATAATAACTTTAGAAAATGTGTTGGCAGCGTATCACAATTAATAATCCATACTCATGTGCTACAGGCAGTCCAAAATTCCCAAGCCATATTTCTTACCCAAGCTTATAACCAGATTCAAATCAAATCCTGCATTTGTGCCAAAAATTGAACAGCAGTCATCTCCCAGAAAATCATTTCACCTAACTGACTCAAGAGTCTTAAATTCCTGATTTTTCCCAAAGTGAAATTCACATTAATCTCAAATTAATGTATATATCCTTCAGTCACCTGCAAAAGAATCCCATAACCTTCCAGTAGGGATTGCACAGACAGTGGAAGGTGCTGTACACACATAGCATTACTGTAGGTTTTCCTGGCCATCTAGATTGTGTAAGATCCTTTAATATTAATGGGGACAAGTTTTCTCTCAAGGGTGATGTTGAATTTCTCTTTGAGGGTTTTTTCCACCTCTTCATCTTCAAGAGCTACAAATTCTACCAGATCCATGTTTTCTTTGTAGTTGTACGTGGTTTCAGTGAACGTCCACCCAATTAGCGCTCGGAATCCATGGGTGGTCTGGAGGGCACAGATGGACTTCTTTGTGAAGAGGGAATCTGGAGAGGTCTGGAGGTATGTGCACTGGAAACGGAAATCTTCCACCGTCTGTGGCTCAAGGCTGAACATATAAACTTTACGACACTCGTTTTTCTCCAGCAGGTCAGAGTTGGAGAAGCTCTGATTGGGGATGTATTGTTTCCGTCTCATTTTCTCCAGGTACCAGACACCGTTTTTTTCCGTGAAGCGGAAGACGCCGGGAACCTGCGGCTGGTCTTTCCCTGACACAAGCTCCATGGGTTGCCACATCTGGTAGGACACCCCAAAGCCTCCATCAACGATATAGGCTTTGCCATCGATGACGACCTTCACTACGAGGTGGGTCATGAGGGTGGCGTAGGCGTTCTGGTGGGGGTTGAACACGTACGCTCCCAGGAAGCTGGTGTCGTACCCCAGGCCCTTCAGCACCCAGCCCAGCAGCTGGTTGTTTTCCATGCACCAGCCACCCCGCTTCCTTTGCACAATCTTGTTGTAAACGTGCTCCAACTCCAAAGTAATTTTCTCCCCGCAGTGGATGCTGAGGTTTTCGAAGGGAACGGCACGGATGTGGTGCTGGAATATATCAGTTAAGGTTTCCAAATCTTGTTTTTCAGTGGAGCCTTTATAGCCAGTTCTTGCAAAATACTCTTCAAGATTCATCTCACCTGTGAAGGAAGGAATTGTGTTTTGGTTTCTTTACATCAGTGATTTATGATGCTGTGAAAAGCTGCCCTAGCTCTGCCAGCAAAGATTCTTTAATCTACTGAACCTCATCAGAACAGCTTTTAAAGGAAACAGGTATTCCTATCAAATGGTTCCCTGAGCAAAGAGCAGCGCACGTGAGGGTTTGCTTTTGTCTTAGAGTCATCCCTCTGGCAAACAGCTGATGCCATTTCAGTTTCATGCGAGGCGGCTGCGAGATGGGGATTGCTGTATTTGCATTGTAACAGCAGGGTTAAGAAGAAAGGTAAGATCATGCTGGGGGGTGTGTACAAGGGTTCATGAGAAATGGTCTAAAGCTGCTGTTCAGTGACAGGACTGTCACTGGGGGAGGCAGTCTCACCTGCCAGTGGGAGGGAGGACAGTCTGAGCCAGGATTTTCATGCTCTTTTCATGAGTCTGCCACTGATGGACGTGACAGTAAATGAATCGCTCGTTCAGTGCACATTGCTCTTCAACCACTGACAAAAAGTTAACATGAAAAGTAAAGTGACAAGCTTTATTCAGATAATTGCAAGTGAGAAAATGCTGACTTTTGAAAGAGTCACAGACCACTGAGTCTTGTGTCTCCTCCGGGTGTTGTAGAAACTCATTTTGGTGTTGGAGTAACGGATCTGAATGGAGGTGAGTGGCATAAAAGACAAGGAGCACATCTCCATTCTCTCCTGTGCCCTCTGTCTCACAGGCCACCCTGAAAATGAACAGGGGCTGCTTCAATCTCTCTGGTCCCAAACATTCTCAAAATTCACCAATCCTTAAACTCAGCCGTGAACTGTTGAATATTTACTGCAAACTAGAATTTCTCAAGACGATTCTCAGTGGCAGATTCATGCTGTGCATATTCCTGGTGTAGAGGCAGCTGTCCCAAGTGAATGGAGAACACCAGCAAAAACTGCACATTACCTGCTACAGGGAGGAATTTAGCTTCCGGTGATATCAACGTGTATTGTTGGAGGATACATTTAATGTGAGATTTGTTAAGTGTAACATAAAATCACAGCACTTTTGATTTGCAGAATCTGAGTATATCTGATCCTACTGTGAATGCTAAATGGATCACATCCAGTATAGAGCTGGTTCTCAAGTTTGTATTATTTGTAATTTCTTTCTGCAGTTCCATAATATGCTTGATCAGCATTAGATCTGGACTGCAGGAGATGAAAGCCACTGTTCTTTTGAAATGTGAGCAGACCAGATGAAAAGGCAGGTACTGAAAAAGTCGTCCCACAAATGTGACTATGATTTATGCAGAGAAAAACATCAGCAGAAGAATTTTAAAGGTGCAAATGAAGGTGTTCATACAAAATTATTCCTTACCAGGACTATACATAGTATCAGCAATTCCACTGTTGAAAATATGTTATTTGTCTTCTTTTATCCTAATACATCAGCACATGGACTTTCTGGGTTGCACAGCCCAGAGTCTATAATTTTTTTAAAGTTGTTTTTAAAGAGCTGTAATTTTATTCCCTTAAAGCAGAATCTATTGATTATTAGACTCAACTTTTGCTTCCTTTGCACTTGCAATACTTTTAAAAAAATATAAGTATCTAAAAGCATGACTTCCAACAAGAAGTTGCAGTTCCAAATTCATATCTACTATTGTTCTTAAACAGAAGAATATATTTTATAGTGAAGTGAAGCTTCTCCTGAAGTGTGAAAGGTAGAAGAATTGAAATTTCATATCACTTTTTTGCCCTCTTTAAGAGCTCCTGTTTATCAGGTGATATTTTAGCTCTTTATCCACACATTTTTAGAACACTTTTCCTACAGAATGTTGCTTACATTATTGTCCATGACCTTTACCATCATAAAGAAACCAGGTTTTTTGTATCTTTCTTTGGAGGGACTTTTTAAGAAAATAAACTTACCTCTTATGAGATCCCTTTTTATTTATTGAGGTATTCAGTTTCTGAGTGGTTTATTACAGGGGCAGCAGTCAGTCAGTGAAGCCAGGAGTGGATACAGATTGTGAGGGCTGTCTTTCTAAGCTCCACTGGCCCTCGTTCCTGAATCTTAAATTCCAAGAAAGGGCAGAGTCCACCCAAAATGAATTCACATTTTTGGACTTCGCTGATCCGTGAGCAAATTAAACTTTGTTTCTTCTTTATTAGTAGATGTTTATGCCTTCCCCTAGTTAAGACCAGAATGAACTCGTTTTCTGAATAAAATAATTACAGTAGGCTGTTGCCACTGACGTTGTAGCTTTTTAAAATTAAATACTGTTATTTTGCAAACCAGCATTTTGCAGTGGAGGATGTTCATCTGTGCCCTGATGTGTACACTGAGGTGCCAAGGCATTGCAGGCTGTGTCTCTGAGCTCCATGGATGCACAAATGACCTTTCTTTGCCCTAACAGGAACTTTTTCAGTCCGTTCAACTCCTCAGCTGCAGCAGGGAGCTATTGTGGACACACCTAATGAATTCCATGGCAAATATTTCTTTGCATTTCTGCTCTAAAACGTGGCCTTTTTGTTTAATTCTCCCCCAGTCAAGCCTGCCTCCCCTTCATTTGATGGAGGTGGAACATCAGAGGAGGCCTCTTTGGGAAAGGCAGAGAGCACATTAGACTGCACCTGGGGAAGTTTTAGGCACATCAGGTACCCCGTAGGTCTGTGTGGTTAACTAAAGCAAGTATCAAAGTCTTTTCCTTGGCTGATGTTCTTCTGTGGCCCTCTTTCATGGCACACCCTGTACAGTACCACAGGTGTCATCAGCTAAAAGGCTTCAGTGTCATGGATTTCCTGCTGTGAAATCACACTGGTGGCATGTCCTTGCATCCCAGGGCTTTCTTTTGCATCCACACTTTTTAAGGCAGGTTTTGTGCAGAATACTGTTTGTAGTAAATACAAAGACTTTCATCTATAATGCTGTCGTGTCCTCTTGACATCACATGAAGGCTTGGTCCCAAAAGTGTAGATTATATTTTGCAAAGATTGACCTAGCTTTTTTTCCAGTTTTGAAACCAAAAGCCTGATTTTTAAGAAGTGTTGAATCATCTCATCTTCCACAGGTTTGATTTTGAATTCAGAGACACAGATAAATCAGACTCAGAAAACGTGGGTACTCAAAATTAGAGAGATTTGGGGAGGGCTTAGGTACCCTTGGATAAATATCTTACTTTAAGTCAATTTCTGAACAGGCCACAGGACTCAAGTCCTTCAACTTTTCATCTGTTACTCAGCACCTAATGGTGGCTTGTTTTGAGAAAGTCTTAACCTTTCTTTTTACTACAAAGTCTTTAAAAGTCAAATTCAGCTCAGCTTTAAGACTGTTAAGGGAAGTGAATAATTTGTAAAAGTTGCTGAGAAGATGGGAAATAATGCCAAAAAAGGTTAGAGGTCTTTCATGTAAAATGGTAACACAACCTCTCCTTCTGCATCATTTTGGCCTCATTTACCACAAAATATATCTGCAATAAAATGAGTTCTTGAGAAGGTGAACAAAAAGTTAAGTAGTCAAAAAGCAATTTCCATATGAGCCGAACTGAGCTAGTAAGATGTCTTGGTTTCTAAAGAAGGAGAGGTTTAATAAAAAATATGCAATTGATATATGCAGTTAATTTAGCAATGTATTAGAATTTACCAAGCTTGATGACTAGCTCAAGTTAAAAATGCAATTATTGTAATTAATGTTAATTTTAGAATTTTTCTCCTGGCTATTTAAAGATCTTTCTAGCACAGTGTTACAGTTAGATCTTATCCACTAAATTAGGTGGCAAGCCACGAACATTTACTGGTACTAGTTTGTTCTCCAGTACTATATTGAATTTATCTTTCAGTGTCTTCTCAACCTCTTCATCTGTAAGGGTTGTGATGTTCACCAGGTCCGTGTCCTCTGTGTAGTTGTATTTCATCTCACTGAAGGTCCATCCAACCAAGGCAAGGAACCCATTGGTGGTTTGGAGAGTGCAGATTGACTTCTTCCGAAGGATGTTATCTGGAGACACTTGGAGGTAGGCATTTAGCTCCTGGAAATCATCTATATGCCGTGGCTCAAGAGTAAATCTGTATATTTTTCGGATGTTCCCCAGTTCTGGAGTATCAGGGAAGTCACTCTTACTGTGCTCAGGAATATAATGCTTCCTTTTGACTTTCTCAAAGTACCAGATGCCATTGTCTTCCATGAAGTGGAAAATGCCAGGGACCTGGGGTTGGTCCTTCCCAGAAATCAGCATCAGTGGCTGCCACATCTGGTAGGCACCACCAAACCCAGCATCTACTATGTAGGAATCTCCCTTGATCACCACCTTCAGCAGGATATGGTTTATCTCAGCAGTGTATCCCTTCTCTGCTGGCTCATAGCTGTTTGCACCAAGAATACAGACATCATACCCTAATTCTTGCAAGGCCCAGAAGAGGAGGTGGTTGATTTCCAGGCACCATCCACCACGTTTCTTTCTCACAATCTTATTGTAAGTAGATTGCAAATCCAGCTTGATGGCCTCCCCACAATGCATGCTGAGGTTCTCAAAAGGAATGGTCTGGATGTGATGCTGGAAGATGGCTGTCAGGGTCTGCAAGTCTGCATCCTTATGGGGATTGTTGTAAGATATTCTTCCAAAATACTCCTGAATGTTCATTTTGCCTGTGTGAGCAGAAAAGTAGCCAGTTACTGCTGTGCAGCTGTCAAGGGGTTCACTCCTGTTTCTGTAGCACAAGTTAACCAGCCTGCAAATGTAGTCTGGGCCATTTTATTGAGGATCTCAAAGAATTTTAAGTATTTCTTTAAAAAGAGAAAAGGACAGGAACAGGTGGCAATAATGCTTTCCCTCTCTCAGGGGCTGCCTTCAAACCAGGTGGATGTTTTTCCCATGAGAAGATACAGCACATGCCATTACAGAATCTGGCCACAGAGGAGGATCCCACATGACAAAAGTTTTTGAAAATCAAGAAATAACATGTTTGCAGAAAAGCTGCCACACCATACCATCATAAAAACACAGTAGGATCTTACTGTTTCTTTTACCATACCAGGTAAGCAATTCTTTCTTTATCCCACAGGTAATTTAACTGGAAGGTTTTGCATTCATGGATTTGGTTAACTGGGATTAACATCTCAGTGTGCCACCATTTCAGACAGGTTTCCATGTGAAGTAGATCGTTGTTTTCTTAATCTCTTAAATTTCCCTGGGGAGTTTAGACAGGGCTTTGGCTGTGAAAGGAAGGGACTTTAATTTTTCTAACCTAAGGATAAAAGGAATTGATCTAAAAGTACATACAAGGCATATTCATAATCTTTTGGTTTCTTTGACCATCTTTTACAAATTAAAGGCTTTAGTTTCAGATCAAATTATTGGAAATATTTTGTGTCCTTGTATCTCTGATCCCCTTTCATTAGCAGAAAGACACTGTCATTGGCACTGGTTGTGTGGCCAAGATAAAAAAAGGCTCCCTGTAAGACTTCTAATTCAGTGTCTCATCTTCTCTCTGCAAGGATTTATTTTGCCTTTAGTTTAGATTTAATTTGGCTTTTTTCCATGCAAGGATATTTGTTGTTCAGAGCAATTCACAATCTCTTAAGGCCTGTGTTAATTTCCAAAAAGTCTGAGGATTTCTTGCTTCCTTCAACTGGTTGAATGTTCCCTGGGAGGATTTTCCAAAAACCTTTTGATGTGGATGAGATGGGACAAACTTACCTTCCACTGAATATTCTCAGTTTTAGCCCAACTGTTTTCCCCCAGGTGTTTGACCCCATGTCCATGGCAGAAGCTTGTGAAAATCCCACCTCAAGTCCATAGGTGGAAGTACCCCCACCCCAGGAGATGAGCGGATCCAATGGCCTAATCTCTCGACTTTAACCCCAGTCTTGATGCCAGCAGCACAACTCACATGACTTTGTTGTGTTGCTCCTGATCTGTACTAGTACCAACATTCAGACTAATTCAGACCCACAGGAAAATGTGATAGAATAGAGAATTATCCCAATAAGGGAATAAGAAATAAACATTTTCACTTCAAAAGGACCCAAAGAGTCTACATGAAAAAACAGTAATGTCTCTTTGATACTGCATTTCATGATTTTTTTCCATCTCTTTTTTAGGACAAGGGCACTCATCTCTGGCAGGATCTCCTTGGAAACAGTTGTAGAAAGCCATTTCCTTCCCAACACACAGCACACATGTTCACTGGCAAGGCTCATCCTGTGGTCCTCTGTCTCATTTTTTCTTTCTATTCCCACTTTCAGCAATTTTGCACCCGGGTCTGGGTGTCCCCATGACATGGGGAAAGCACAGGATAAAACCAGCTCCCCTCATCCAGCCATGGGGCACTGGCAATGAGACCTCGGGAAAATAATTGGGAAAACCTTTTGGGAAATTCCCTGCACATGCCTCAGTTTCCCCAGCTGCCCCTTCTCTGGCCCCATCAATTTAAAGTCTGCTTCAGAGACAGCCTTGCGGTGGCTGACAAAATGTGCTCTGATCTCAATGAATACTTAAAGAGGTTTAAGTATAATAAAGCTGCACTACAACATCATTGGCATTAGGGAGCATCCACATAAATCAGCGTTTACTCCCTCGCTGTCCTGGAGGCAGATTTTTCCTTGGCACAGCCGTTCCCTCTGTGCGAGCGATGAGGCTGCAGCAGTGAGCAAGCTCTCTCCCCGGGGACACTTTGCGTTCCAAAACTGAGTTGCCAAATATCCCGAGCCCCAGTCCGGCTCTCAGCCTTGTTTGCTTCTGCCCCTGCAGCAGCTGAGCTTTGCTCAGCGTTCCTGCGGCTCCGTGGGTAGTGAGATTCAGATGTTAGTTCTGCCTGTCTGCACGTGTCCCCCGGGATCGCTGGGTCCTTTTGTAATTAGGCTGAATATTAGGATCAGTTCTCCTCTGCTAAAAATCTTGAGGGATTTCCAAGGCTGGGTCCTCTTGCACATGCCTACAGTGTTTGTTTGATTCTGAGTTACACTGTGAGTCAATAGCTGCATTTTTCATACACTCTGGCTCAGCATAAAGGGTTAGTTTAACTCTCAAACACTCGATGTTGCGCTTGGAAAATGCCCTTGCAATGCTCTCTCACCACCAGCCCTGTGGTTCCTGTAGTTTATGCTTTGCTAAAACACCTGCAGTGCTGTGCACAGGGTATGCAGACTCACAGGGGTGGGCTTTCCCAAAGGGGCTGACCCAAAGCTGCAGGATGAAGTTAAAGATCAGGCATGCAGTGCTTACCTCGGAGGCAGTCAGCTCAGGCTTTCACCCTGGGCTGTTCCAAAGTTCCCAGGAAGAGCTGCACTGGCAACTGCTGCTCTTAAAGGTCCAGGCTGCCTTTACTGCCTGGCAGGGACAGCCTTATCCTCCAGCAGAGCAGCCAAAGAGGGGAAAGAGTTTCTTCTTTTATAGCAGTTTAAATTCTGATGGTTTTATTGGTTTATTTGTATTGGCATATGTGCGGAAAGTCCTGTCATGCAATTTGTTGTGTTAGGTGCTGCACGGAAGGCCTGAAAATGATCCAGTCCCCAACCTGCTTATAATATTGAGGAGATTTTAACCTTCCAATTCACAGAATGACAGCTGAAGCCCTGCAGGAGTGAAAAGCATGGGTATCATTAGCAACTTTTCTAAGTGGTTATAACCTATAGACCCATCCTCAACCCTGCAGGTCACCCAGGGGCTTCAGTGTTTGGGGCACCTTGGTGGGTGCTCCCATGCTAAAGCAGCAAAACAGTCGTGAAAAAATGATGCAGATTTTACTTTGTTGACACTGATGTGGTCTGGATCCGTGTAGGAAGTGACTTATGATAGACAGAGTGTAATCCAGGGCAGGAAGGCACTGATTTATTGGTTTGGGTTGGCAGCTGTTGAACTAATCACACCACACTGAGCTATTCCTCGTGGCTGACACCAGCCCCTGCAAAGCAGCAAGGTCAGATCTGCCAAGGCACATAGCTGTCTAAATTCCCCTGGGTTCAAAGAGAAGCCCTGTCCTTCAAAAGGAAAGATGGACTCTCAAGAGAACTCTGAGCTCCCTGAACCTGCTGTGCCTTTAAGTATTTGCCTCCAAAGTTAGCGATAAGGAAAAAATGAACTAGTGCAATCTGAAATGAAAATCTCTTTATTTTTTCCCTTTTTTTTTCCTTCCAACAGCAAGTTTCATTGCATTGGTCAGCAGTACACTGAGCCTCTGTTGGTGAGCAGGAGCACTGAGCTGGGCCATGCAGGGGCAGCACCTGGGCACATGCTCCAGAAAATAAGTCAGCAGAAGGAAAAGCGGCTTTCCCTGTTCCTGCCCTCCACACACAGCATCTCAGGGGCAGTGGACATAACACCCTACTCTGATCTTAAAGGTCTGATTTTACAGCTCTGGACTCATTCCCCTCAGCCTATGGAACCCCACAAAGGGCAGGAAACACCCTGACACAGGGAGAGAGGAGTGGGCACAGCCCTTTTTAGGTGTTTCCTATGTTTGTTCCCACAAAGGATGGAGATTCTCGGCTGTGTGTGGATCTTCTCCTGCCCCACAGCTTTGCAAGACCTGCCTGGATTTTCACCTGCACCCCAATGCTTTGTCCCTGCTGTCCCACTGAGTTTAGCTCCTTCAGCTCTCACACTAATTTGGGAGCCACAGAAAAACACAGGTCATAAACAAGCCAGATCCTGGGACAATTTCTTCTGACCATTTGTATTGCAAGCTGCTGGTCCGCACCATAAGAAGCCTCTCTTTCTTTTATAACCACATTTCATTTTCTCATAGGATGGGAGGGCCTCATGTGCTATAAAGAACTATTGCACCCCTGCAGCCAAGCACATGTAAGTGAATTTGACTCTGGGAAGACAGGCGTGTCAGGAGCTTGCTGTGTCTCTAAGAAATACATTTTGAACATGCAGAATAGCAGCTTTTATTAAATTTAAACTGCTAGTTCTAGAAAGCTGCACATGCTGCATAGCAAGTGAAAAAGGTTCAGTGAGTTATTGTGTTTTTAAAAGACTTAGCTGGAAAATATTAGCACATACAAATAATCAGGACAATTTCAGTGATTAATAACTTTTTTTTTTACTTCGGGAATACATGCTGTAATTTAGGGGGAAAAAAACATCTGAATAATTCTAGTTCACAGTGCTTGATTTTTTATTTAATTGTAATTCACTAATATAATTTGCTTAATTATAAGTGCGTAGTTGTAATGCTTCCAAGATTTGTACATAAAGGAACATCAAGCATCTTCTCAAAGGGCAAAATGGTCACATTTGAGTAATTTCTCCTACTAGAAATCTTAGCCGTTAGGTATGTGATTAAGATTCATAGTTTCTCCTTATATCAGTATAATTAATATCACTGCAAACGCATCCTGAGTAGAACAGATATGTTTCAGAAAAATAATTCTGTGCATGTGTTTGGGTTCAGCCATAATAATTAGGGTGCAATGACACCCGGAGTAGAGTCTGCTGAGAGGAACATGTATTCCCAGCAGTCTGCTGCTGAGTGCGAGCAAACAAAATGCTCAGGAGATGCTTTCAGTTCAGAGAAATGCTGCTCTTTGGTTATGTCACCGAGAGACCAGGAGCTGTGCAAAGTCTGAAACAACACATTTCTTATCATCAGTTCTAAATCGTAAATAACCTGTCCTCAAGCACTCACATGGTGAGTTTGCACAGGTGTGAGATGGCCTGACTGCCATGTGAGAGGGTGTTGTGGATGTGAGAGCAAAAAGAATAGGCTTGTGACTTAACTGGAGAAACTCAGCACAGGATATCTTTGTGGTTTTTTGGCTATTATATTCCCAAAATAATATAGTATTCATTTAAGAGGCAGGTATGATTTTCCCCAGGTGGAAGCACCAGGTAATAAAGACAAAGATATACAGCTCCATCATTCTGCCCAGCTACACTGGGTGCATTTAGAAAAGCTTTTAAGAGACAAAAGGAGTAGGGAATGGGCTGAGTCTGCTTCCCACTAAGCACAAACAGAAGGGCAATGATTTGATTGAGCTAGGCAGAAATTATTTGTACCCAACCTAAAAAGAAATGCAGGAATAGTTGTGAAAATCCATTTATTTTTTAGATCCATGCTAGTACGTTCTGCCTTACACTGGTGTAGGTGGAAGGAGAAAGATTAACCTTTGGATGCTTGTCAGAAAGAGAGGGAAGAATTGCCTGTAATGCCACTGAATTGAACTGTAATTCAGGCAGTGAGTTAGAACAGAGACAACCTGCTCGTATTGACAGGTACAAATTTCTTGTCTAGTGTTATATTGAATTTCTCCTTCAGTGTTTTCTCTATTTCTTCATCTGCAAGGGTTCTGATTTCCACAAGATCCGTATTGTCCCTATAATTGTACTTTATCTCAGTGAGTTTCCACCCCACCAGTGCCCGGATGCCGTTGGCAGTCTGCAGGCTGCAGATGGACTTGGTCACAAAGAGCGAGTCAGGAGCTGTCTGCAGGTGGGCATTGCAGCCCCTGAACTCCTCAATGTCTCGTGGCTGAAGGGTAAAGAGATAAATCCGACGGCAAGCTTCATTTTCCACATTTTGGGAAGTCGAGGTGCTTTGGTTGAGAACCAACTGCTTCCTTTTCACCTTCTCAAGGTACCAGGTCCCACTCTCCTCCTGAAAACGAAAGACCCCAGGAGTCTGAGGCTGATCTCTCCCTGAAATCAGCTCCATTGGCTGCCACAGCTGGTAGGCCATCCCAAACCCCCCATCCACAATGTAGGATTTTCCCTCAAGCTCCACTTGTAGCAGCAGATGATCAATTTCATCTGGGTAGCTGTCGAGCTCTGGGACATAAACTTTTGATCCCAGAAGGGTGACGTTGTAGCCAAGAGTTTTCAGGACCCAAGACAGAAGGTAGTTGTTTTCCATGCACCAGCCCCCACGTTTATTCTTCACAATCTTGTTGTAGGTCGCTTCCAGGTTCAGCTCAATGCTTTCTCCGCAGTGGATGCTGAGGTTTTCAAAAGGGACAGCTTGGATGTGGTGCTGGAAAATATCTGACATGGTAGCCAGGTCTGGCTTATTGTGGGAGCCCCGGTAAGAAATTCTGGCAAAATACTCCTTGATGTCCATGCTGCCTCTGAGAGAAGGGTGGGAAAAAATAATAGGCTGTGTCAGAACTGATGAAAGGCTCTTCCCCATCCCTTATAATGGGGTGCTTGGAAGAAGAGCAGGATTTGACTAATGTCTGTATCAAAGGCAGCTGAGTAATAGTGCTGAGAGAAGCCAATGGGACACTGCTGATGTGTACAAATGTTATTTTTATTTGCTTCTTTTACAGCTGTGATGAGAGGCTCCAGCTGTGGTAAGCATATTTCAGCAGAGTTCCTGCCCAGCAAAACTACAAATCTCTGTAGGAAGGAACGAAAGCAATAGCAGCAATGTTTCCCTGCTAGAAATTATAGGAACTGAGACTCTCCAGATCTGAACTGCTTTGCTCGTGGTTTGACTCAGCAATGCAGAAGCAGAAAACAAACCCTCCCGCTCTTACAGTGTCATCCAGAGCCTCTTCTGCAACCAAACCTGAAGCGAATCTGTCCTGCCATGGGGTTTCGTTCATTATTTAGGCAGCCAGGCATGAGCTGGTCTCCTGCTCCTGCTCTCTGTGCCAGCAGTAACAGATGTGACCTGGAGTGCAGAAGGCTTTTTTAAGGCAGAAAAGGCTGTGGGAGGTTTTTTGTTGTATCTGCTGTGAGCTGCTTCCCCACAGCACAGCTTAGCTCCCCAGTCCTGCTAATCACAGCCCTCCACCAGCAATAAGAGGAATCCAAGGTTTGGGCCTAAACCACAAGGTTCAAAGGCCTTGCATTTTCTGAGATCATTTTTTGGGATGCAGTTGCTCCTTCTGCTTGTGGTCTTCCCACTGGTGGGTGGCTGCCTGTGGGTGAGGGAGAAGGCATTGCCCTCCTCTGGGATGGCACAGAGCTCAGTGCAAGGCTATTTCACAAACACAGGGGTGGAAAGCAGCTCGAGCCCTCCCAGCCCTTGATGGGATTTTGATGGAGCCAAGTACTTTTGTTATTTCTCCCCAGGCACTGCTAAATTTCAGACATCTGTAAGTATGGAGCAATGTTGTTCTCATTATTGACCTGAGAGGTCCAAAAATTCTCTCAGGTTTCTGTATGCAACTCCCAAAGTAAAATCAAAACAAAAATATCCAACTGTTCAACAGGACAGTATTCCCAATCTGACGAAAAATGGTGTACCCAAAATTGTATGGGAATTTTGTCAGTACATAAACAAAACAATGAACATGAAAAATTCCCATTTGGTGTAATATCCTGGCACAAGCAGAGGGGGCCATGGTTTGGGTCCCCACACGACCTTTGGGATACCTTTACAGAACTCTGACTATTGCATCATGGCCACCACCGTGTCTCAACATCCGAGCAGGCCTGAGTCATCCACGACGGGGTTAAGAGCATCACAGTCAGGAGGTTCTCTTTGTTCAGCTTTTGGCTGTTCCCAGGATTTTCCCAGAACTACAGTTCTATTCATTTCTGAAAACTTGGCACAAGCTTAGTTCTTGTTGTGTGAATTTTAAACCAGCATCACCAGCAATGAGATGTTTTTTCCCTTTTTCTCCCTTCCTTTCCCTCTGCCACAGCAAGCAGAACATTTTACTTAGAGTGAAGATGTTGGTGTGGGTTTGTCTGTCTGTCCATCTCTTGAAGGTGTTTAGAGGGCTGTTTTAATGGGGATTGCTGAAATAAGGCAGATGGCACAAATGCCCAAGTTGCTTGAGGCTCACAACTGAGTAAATAAACCAGTGTATCTACAACACCGAGCAGCTGAGCTCCCTGCTCTGCCTTACACCGTTTCTGCTGTGCTTTGTCCCCAGCCAGATTTAACTTCCTGGTTAGAGAGCACTCAGCTACCAAGATCCAGGGGTTAAGAAAAAGACTTACCTGGAAAATCAGTTCAAGCGCCAGTGTACCTCCAGGGCTTGGGGTGGTTCTAGGCTAAAGCAAGTGGCGTGGCTGGCTGTCCTCTGCTTAGCACAGACAGGGTTTGAGGACTGCTTTCCAGCTGCTTTTCAGGGCAATGTCCTTTCCTTCAACTTGCTTTCACCCGCTTCTGTCAGATTGCAAAAGCTGGGAAAAAAAAAAAAAAAAAGGAAAAGAAACACCCTGAAGGGTGGAGCGTGAGAGCTGGAGTGAGCCAGCAAGGCCAGCAGCAGTGTAAACCTGGCTGTTGTTAGAGCAGAGGCTGCTTCACAATTTCACTTGTTTGCTGCTGCCTGCAGGGGCCTGCTCAGGCTGTCACCAAAATGGTTTTGTTTCAGTAGCTTGCTGGATGTACTCGGGTGATGCAGTTTTCTTCTCCCAGTCATTAGATTACTATTTGTTTGGAAATGTGGGGAAGGAAAGCTTGCATGCATTCAGTCTGAGAAGGTTTTGGCACTGTTTCTGAAGAACAGCAAGATTTCAGCACAGTAAGCTGCGCCTGCAACCTGCTTAGCCCAGTCTGCAGCTCAGGAGCTTCAGTGCTGCCTTTGCTTCCTTTGCCCTGTGTGATTTCCATGTGGTTTTTATTACAGCAAATTTCATAGAATATAAGAAAGTACTGGGCCAGCAGTGTGAATCCTTTGGTCTTCACCCACAGGAATCACCTGCAGATGTTGTTGATGGTGAAGATGCTCTTGGCAGAGTGATGACTATGAAGTATTAACGCATAGGGAGCTCCAGCCTCTCAGAGTATTTCATATTGCTTTTGTATCTCCCAATTTTGTTCGCATTTTGTCAAGTCTGATTCATTCCCTGACATCTACAGTTGGATCTTCCCTGTTAGCTCCCCGACAGTAGTTCCAGTCCTTCACATTTAGTGTCAATGCCAAGCTCCATTCAAACACTGATTTATTGGGATAATTAGCAGGGATAATAAATCAGATGAAACTAAGATGTCTGTGATAACCCATTACACAGCTCCACTGCCATATCAAAATTTGGCTTTTTATCATCCCATCAGTGGCCCGTATGTGACCCCACAAGAGAGAACCCAAGCCACAAGATGCTGAAGGGAAAGGAGAACCTGCTCTCATCAGGCTCATCTGGGCAGATCCAAATCAGTACAAAGAGAAAGTTTGTACTCCTGTCTGAATCTTACTGATCTTTTCTTCCCACAGAACCCTCATTTTGACAGGAAGAAGCCAAAAGTCAAGCAGGTAGATCCCAGTCCTGATGGAAACCCTCCTGAAATTCCATGGACCTGTCTCTGTACAGGTGAGGAGACCCATCCATGCTCCTTGTCCAGAGAATTTCCCTTATGTGAACTGGCTCAGGGTCAGTGCCAGGGAACTTTGGGGTCCAGTTTATAAATACAGATGTTTTCTGACCCAGGAGAATAAAACCTATTTTCCCTGGTACTTTGATGCTCAGCTTTTCTCAGTTCTTCTCCCTAAAACCTATCTGATATTGAGAATTTCTTCCATGTCTTTCAAATTCTCATCCCAGCTCACAATCCTGCATCACTCTCCTTTTTGTTCACGCACATTTTACAGCCAAGCCATTGCAACCATGAGCTCCCCAGGAGTGCCCAAGGCCAGCACAGGGCAAAGCTCAGCCAGGGAATGCTAAAGGTAAGGAAAGGCTGATCTTGAGCCCCAAGCCTTGCTGGAGTCTGTTCAGTGCCTTGCCAGATCATCAGGGCTAATTCCAGGTGGGGCAATAAACTGCAGTGACAGCTGTGGGTAATGGCCACAAGGTGCCCTCACCTGTCCCCAGGAGCCACAAAGGGCAGAGCCCAGCTTGGGCCAGCTGGGATGGGGAACACAACAACCACGGGGGGAGTGTGCAAATGGGAATGTCCTTGGAAAGGACACTGCTGTCCACCTGGACACTGAAACGCCATTTCCCAGCCTTGGCAGGAGCCAGAGCTGGCTGAGATTTTTCCAGAAGTTCCTCAGTGTAATTGCACTCACTTTTATATAAATTTAAACTGCTGACAGCATTAAATTGAATACTGAAATCCTTCCCTCATCCTGACTCTCCTGAGAGGCCTCATCAAATATCCCCCCCTCCCTTCTTTAATGGAGCATTAGATGCTGCAATATTTGCTTGGGGAAATAAAAGCATTGGGTGCCCTATTTGAGGTGAAAGTCAAGTGTCTGGTCCCTTCTATAATCAGCTCTCTGGCACACTGTATAAAAAATGAAGGTATCTTATTTATATTATATTATATTATATTATATTATATTATATTATATTATATTATATTATATTATATTATATTATATTATATTATATTATTACATTATTATATTATTTTATATTATATTATATTATATTATATTATATTATATTATATTATATTATATTATATTAATTATATGATATTATATTAATTATCTGATTACAAGGATATTATTACAAGGATGTCTAACATACAAACTATACATATAAATAAAGATAGACTCCTAAAGTAATAAAGCAATTGAGGTGTTTTAAATGGAATTAATCTGACATCTTAAACTTTTACATCATGTCAGAGCCTACTGAGCTCTGAGCCAAGTGTCTGGCTCTTGCCTTTCATTTCCAAAGGGAATTTGAGAGATGCAGGCTGCCCTAATCCAAGACTGGTAATAATATTCACACCTCTAAACATATTCATAGTGGCAGAACTCCCTCATGCTTGACATTCATTGTCTTCTTTATGTAATTCCAGATATCAAAGCTGTGGCTACGTGTCTTTCTGGATTTGTATCCTCAACATCCACCATGTGCAGCTGGGTGCTGTCCATCCAGCCAAAGGATGAGCCTGCAGCTCCAACAGGAACTTTTCCCCATGGCACTACAGAAGGGAGCAGCTGTGCTGGACACTTCTTGGCTTTTTCTCAGTGAAGAAGAGGCCAAATCTTGCTTTTCGTGTTTCCTCTATTGCATCTTTCTGAGGGCTGGTGGGGGTCAAAAGTTATCTCCTTTGCCAAGATGAGGTTTTTCACACAAACCACCTCAGAGGGTGTTAATGTAGACCAAGGAAACCACGTTGGTCTGCAGATCCTTCCAGCTGAGGGTTTCAGCATGAATCTCTCACACATGAATGGTCATAATTCAGTTAAATTCCATTACAAGGGGAACAACTGGCTTTTCTACATGCGTGGTTTTTTCTCACAGAGGCTTTAACGGAAAAATAGAACATTTTAAGTAACTGCTTTGATGAAAAATGTGCACATACATCTGCCAGCGAGGAAGATGGAGAATTTGCTTCATTTCACAAGCAAAAATCACACCCCTAACATGCTGCTCCTGTGTCCATCTCATGGGCTGCCTCTCCCAGAGATGCCAGCAGTGTTGTCAAACTCTGAAAGGGCTGAGAGAAAGTCCTGGAGACTGGAAAGCAGACTCCATTATTGTCCATCACTCACCATTGGTAGCTGCTGGGTGATTGTAGGGCCATGAATTCTCCTCTGCAGGGACAGAAAGGCCTCATTTGAATACATAAATGTTATATTGGTCTAGCCCAAAAGTCATCCTGTTACAATGAATTAGCTGATCATCTGCAAAAATTCCTGCTAAGCAAATACACAAAAAAGCCTGTTACCTGGGCACACACAATTACACCCATTTTGTTACAAACTGCCTAACCAAGAGGGTTTGCAAGTCAACAGTCTCTATCACTGCCAGGCCCAGGAATGGCTGGGTATTCCAACCTGTGCACCACTTGCAAAAAAATACAGTTTCAATGTTTTTTAAGAGGAAAATATTCTCAAATAATGTAACGCTGAAATGACCAAAGGAGAGTTACATGTGTATGAATACAAGGGGGTGATGTGCGTTTGCTCAGCCTCTGAAATTCCATATATATATTTCTAACCCCTAAAGAAAAAAATATTGGTAAATATGCTCAAATGCAGCAGCAGTCAGCATTTATGAGCCATGAAGCCACCAAGCCTCATCCTCAACAGGGTTAAATTGTCCTCATTCCATCAGAACCATGTGGCAATGCTGCTTCCACTCACCTGGGTTTGGGTCTGCTCCTCAAAAATGCTCCTCCAAAACCAAACTGCTGTTTCAGTGCAAAAACCCTCACGGACTTCAGTGGGAATCTGGATCAGTCATAGTTCAGGCAATCAGCCTGGAAGCATGCAAAGCAGGAGCAATTACATGAGTTCTGTCATTCCCATTACTCAGGTTTTATATTTTCTTCTTGGAGGTAGATGGGAAGGAAACCTTTTATCTTGGTGAAGAGTGTTACAGTGACAGCAAAGGGGAAAAAAAGCAACTGTGCCTTTGGAAAACACATTTTCATTACAATGTACTAACACACATCACAGAAATAATATATGTTTGTGATGACAAAGTATTCCCACCACTCCACTGCTGAATTTGGTGTACAGGTGGGAAAAAGAAAGGAGAGATGCTCTGGATTAAAAATGTTCTCCCAGACTTACCTTTACTGGGATTTTATTTGCTTTCTGCCCTGCAGTGTGCTCGGGGGGATGCACTGGTGTGACTCCCAAGTGGCGCTGCAGGAATTCGTGCACTCTTCAATATCCTTTTCACAGGTTTTTCCTGCCTGCCCTGTATGTTTACAGCACAAAGCAATGAGCACCATGTAGAGGTGCATGGAAAAGAAGAGGTGAAGTTTCAGGAATCATCCCTTTCCCGAAAAAAAACTCCACACCTGCTGGGATGCCCCACACATTACCCATAATAATATTACTTTTTTTTTCTAGCAAGGAGCAATTTTATCCTTGATCATACAAACTACTGAATGGGCTTTGCTGTGAGATGATGAACCTGATTAATTTGACATCATCCCTGAGCATTTTCATCTCATAAGGTAAAAGGCAACTAATTTCCTTGCAGTGGTCATGGTCTTTCCTTTTCCTCATCACACCGTTGCAAATTGATGCTACACCCAGGGCAGTGTCTCCTCACAGGCAGATGCTGAGGATTCTGTCATGATGGAAGATTGTCATCCACCTTCCAAACCCTTATTTAATAGGAGCTGTGGTGTGAAATTCTGGTCAAACAGTCCTTGAAAAGTAACCACCTGCTTTTTAAGCATCTGGAGGCACATCTCTTCTGCTCCTCTATTTAAAATA